GAACGCCGAAGCACGTATTATTTTGCTGTGCCATGTAATTTTAATCCTCGTCGCCAATTTGTAATGTATTTCTCGTGTAGCCGAGTAAGGATTGAATGTCAAAATAACCTTTAATCTCCAAATAAGTCTAATAACGACTATTTCTAAAAAGAACTCCTCGCCCTCTCTACTCTCTATCGAGACTCTCTTGCGCATGCGTCTATATACAGTACTTCATATAATATATAACAATGACATAATTGCACATTTGTAAGTATGATACAAATCACTTTGCAAGATTGTATAGAAATATTTTAGCAACTTTCAAAGCAGTGAAGGTGGCTCAATACAGTTTTTAAAAAAAATGGAAAATTCACGATTTAGATGCGTATTTTTGGACAACTATCACTTGTTCATAAACAAAAAGTACCTTACTTATATAAAACAACATCTAAAGAGTTTGAATTTTTCACAAAAGTTACGCAACTTCCGTTGCTATGGCAACAATGATGTTTCAAGATGGCCAATCCTTCGGCTTTAAAGTATCCTTCGGCTTTAAAGTAATTTAACTCGTAAACGACATCGGTGACCCCCCAAATTTTATTTTAAAAAATGATTTCTCTTAGTATAATCAATTATTTTGACAATTTAAAATTACGTAAAGGTGATTATTCATAATAACTTTTTTGGCTCCACAGAACTTTTTAAATTGTCAAAATAATTGATTATACTAAGAGAAATATTTTTTTTAAATAATATTTGGGCCGGGTTAAATTTACGAGTTAAATTACTTTAAAGGCAAAATATCCGCCATCTTGAAACGTCACTGTTGCCATAGCAACGGCAGTTGCGTAACATTTGTTAAAAAATTCAAACTCTTTAGATGTTGTTTTATATAAGTAAGGTACTTTTTGTTTATGAACAAGTAATAATTGTCCAAAAATACACATCTAAATTGTAAATTTTCCATTATTTTAATTTGTTTTGTTAAACAGCGAAAAGTAACTTCGAAAACAAAATTTTATTCTTTACACAGCGGGTTTATTTCTTTTTAGGATCCATTTGATGACGTATCGGATAAGGTGAAGTCTTCACTTGACAAGAAACAGAAGTTTCATTTAAACAGCGGATTACAAAAGCTAAATGTGGATCATTTTGTTCGTGAGTTATTGGAACTTATTTTGCTGTACTTGAAGCATGTTCCTGAAGATCAGTTGCACTTTCCGTAAGTTTACAAATGCAGATGTTATTTTAATTGTAAACGAACTATATATACTGTATACGAAGCTGCGCAAAGTTTTAAATGCGCTTTATTTGGCTTCAGTTCATAAACACTGGTATGGTGAAGTTTTGCCAAAACCATGGATGCATCATCCTCTACCGCAGAAAATGGTCCCTTGTTTTCGTGTCAATACTTTCAGGAATGCAAAAATTCCTAGAACTATTGCTTTGAAAATGTCAAACTGTTAGCCATTTCCCAATCGAGCAAAGGATTGGGTCTAGTTGATGTTTGGAGGGACAACAAATTATAGTGAAGAGCTAAATGGATAATTATTCCATCACCTTGACCTGGAAGCCTCGCTCTGACGAATCAACACGAAAGGCTATTGGCACAACACGGTTTGTGAGAACGAAGCTTCCAGGCCCACAAAGAATTTGTGACGTAATTATAGATAAGATGTATTTCGCGTGTGCCTATGACATGTTATCATTTCTAAGATGAGGATTTCTAGACGTTACGAATGCGATGATGCATTCGCGATTTTGCTAATATAGTGAAATGGAATTGCGTCAAGTGGTGTTAAAATGAAATGAAGAAACACGAAGTTGAGTCAAATGAAGTAGAATAAATTTATGTGGAGTGAATTAACTAGTATTGGAATGAAATGAAATAAAACGAAGTGTTTTAATATCATATAATCAAGATATGATCTAGAAATTTGGCCATGGCCTTTGTCTTTTTTGGTTATTTTTATGCAGACTTATTCACGATTCAGTCGATGAGTTTCCAGACCATGTCTCGATTGACTATGGCGATATGAAGTAAAGCTGACTCAATACAGTTTTTTTAAATGGAAAATTTACGATTCATGCAGATCCGTATTTTTGGACAATTACTTGTTGAAAAAATTATCTTACTGATATAAAACAACATTAAAGAGTTTGAATTTTTTTAAGAAAAGTTACGCAAATGCCGTTGCAAAAATGACGTTTCAAGATGGCGGATATTTTGGTTTTAAGGTAATTTAACTCGTAAAAGACATCGTAACCCCAAAATTTTATTTCACAAAATGATATCACTTAGTATATCAATTATTTTGACAATTTTAAAAATTAGGTACGCGGAGCGTACATGTTGCAAGCCATTCGAGTATATGAGCATAGTTGATAGAGCAGATAAGGCGTGATAAAGCAACGCTGTGACTAGCCTGAGAGGACGATACAACCCAGTCAACCTAGTCATATTTGGATGAACGCTTTTGGCTGTTTACAGGTGTAGTACAAATGCTCTCTTCTCGCTGTTTACCGTGCGTATTGCGCGTTGTGCCTATACCGAGAATACATATCACCTGACCAATGTGTTACTAGGCTTGCTCCAAGTCTCTCTTTCATTGTCATATAGTATCGATCCACGATAGTGTACATTACATGACATAGTACGGAGGGCCGGAGCGAGAAAGAGAGATTTGTCAACTTCAGGAAATCTCGGTTCAAAACTGAACCGAAAATGCACGACTTGTTCTAATTGTTTTCTGTCAGTGTTTATATGTATTGATCTATGTAAATAACATGAGTTCTGTTATAGTAAATAATACAGAAAAAAATTGATGGAAAACAATTAAAGCAAGTCTTTCGGTTCAGTTTTTAACCGAGATTTTCCGAAGTCGACTGGTTTCTCTCGCTCCGCTTCTCTGCGCTACGTCATGTAATGTACACTATAGTGGATCGATATGACAGTGAAAGTGAGACTTGGAGCAAGTCTAACGTGTCACAAGCACTATCTGCTTGTCTATTCTTGTCTCATTGGTCTTTTTGTGAAGGGAGAAAAACTCGTACCACAAGCACAGAGTATTATTATTGTATGACCAAAACACGTGACAAAACGTAAACATAGATCTGATTCAGTGTCGTATGCATATGCCTGATAAGATTCATTGTTTACATATTTTTATATTTATGGACTTTACGCAATACGGCTTGTGCACGACTTTTACTTTGTTATGTAACTAGCCGTAATATTACTATAAGTGAAGTTACTATATCAGTTCTGCTCATAACAAATGGGCCCACAGATATAAACATTGCCCAAATTTTGCATCTTTCGAACTTTTTGAATTGAAACATACTCTATAGTTTATATTCATTTACAATTGCGAACCAGAAAAGGTGTTAGATATTCAGTTAGTATGTCTTATTTTACAAATATAGGATTATAGCAGTTCAAAATGTAAACAAATCCTTTGCTCACATTACGGACTTGACATGGTCTTGATAAATAAACTATAAACTGCCAATTTAAACATCAATTTAAAATAATTATAATTTAATATACTCACGGTATAAACGTGCATGAAATAAAAATAGCACACGTTAATTGAAAAGCCGTTTTATACTAGTACAGTACTTGATACAGTTGTGCAAGTAGTATAAAGTCCCTGAGACTGTTATACACTTCTAAATACAGAGATAGAGTATAGCGGTATAGTGAGCAGTGTAGAATTGATCTTAGTCCGCGTATGACGGAAACGTGCGTATAGTCGCTGGTCAGTCCATATGTTCGAACTGTAACTATTTTCGGAAATATTTTTTATGAAATACTACAATAATATATTGATCTACACATATATATTCATAAAGTGCAGCGAGCTTGCATTTGAAAACTTTTGAAAGAACTATTGTGAGCAGTGCCAGTGAAATATATTCAAATTTGTGAGTTCTATATGCACGTGGTTGTACAATTCGCAGTTACTTACCTGTTTCTCTTTCTCTGTATTATTTTCTTTCTAAAAAAATACATGGATAATTGTCAGAACAACTTTTGTTACTGTACCTTATTATCCTACCCATAGAAATAATAGATATAGAATGCGTACTTCCATCTTTAATCAATTAAAATTTTGTCTCCACAAAATTCAAAATTTTGTCTCCACAAAATAGCGGATTTCAAAGGGCATTTTGGCTTGCGGAGGGTGCGAATTGTTTTTTTCAACAACGTTGGCAAAAAAAATAAATTATCGAGACTTAAATCGAGACTTAAAATAGAAATGTTTTGTAAAGCAAATAAACATTTTGAAAACCCCATCCTAATGGATTATTTTACGAAAACAATGAACTGCAGGATTGTATACGGAAATCGCCGTTTAAAAACACAGTTTCAGTTGTCGTGGAAGCCAAAATGCAAAACGAAAGTAAAAACACAAAAGGTCAAGACAAACTCGATACTATAAAAATATTTCTACTGTTTTACAATTATAAATCAAATAATGCAGTTCAATAGAGAATAATACATGAGTGCGCGGAAATACCAGATTTATTTCGAGTGTTGAACATGATACCTCACGAGTGAGCGCAGCGAACGAGTGAGATATCATGTTCAACACGAGAAATAAATCTGGTATTTCCAAGCACCTATGTATTTTTCTGTTTATTATATAAACAAAATTCAGAACGTCCGTGGCAATGCGTTTTACAACAAATGATATTTTCACACGTTAAAATATCGTATTTTTTACGTGTGTTTAAATACGAATTTTCTCAGTGGCCAAAAACTCTATATAACACTTATGTTTATATAATCTTTTTAAATTCAATTACGAAATTACTTTGCTGTACGATTTTCACCGTTTTTGTAAATGCACAACAGCACTTACAATTGCTTTGTAAATAATCTATCCTCTACCAAACGACGCAAGGTTAAACTAGGTTAACCCATTTCATTTTTTGCGTGTGTGAGGCATGGGGTTGGGGGGTCACGAAGCACTGAAGGTATGGTCAAATCATACGGGGTTCTCAATAGCTGTGGATAAAGATGACAGTTAGACATTTGGCTGAAATCTGCTGCCAATAAGACACCTCTCGTGTTTCAATAATGAAGAAATTTGTTCCAATAATAAAGAAATTTAGCACCTGTTCTAATAATGAAGAAATTTGGCTTTTCAGCTCTTCAAATTGTTGTTTTAACATCTCGTTCTCTTCAGCCATGTTAGATGTCGAATTACTTGCACGAGCCTAAAATAGTTTTGAACACGATTTAATACTTATGACCATTATAGATACTATATAATCACCCACAATATACCACGACTCTGACTGGCATTTTTACAATACTATTTTTATATAAAACTCTTCATACGGTGTTCTGCCATGAATTGCCAATATTTGTTCTCGTGAAATGTGAATTGCGGGATTTTTGTGATTTACACATAGCCGCGTGATTGCAGCCGGCAATTGTTTATCCAGGAAACGATAATTTATGAGACCGGTAGAACAAAGACTGGACGAGTAGTGGTGAGGAATGCGAACGTGAAGAATAGTCAAGTTATCGGATCATTACAAATCCCTTGCAACCGAAAGGTATACACTGCATGTCTGTTACTTAACAAAATTAAAATTCTCTCTCTCAAGATTCTCACGATTTGTTCGGTTTTACAAAAACATACATTTGTCAAAAAGACATCTGCATCTTCGAAAACATACAGTAACCATTGTCACGCTAAATAAGAGCTAGACAACAGGTTCACAATTTGTCGATGCTGACCAAAAATAGCGGCTCATTTCTTCTTGAGTTGGCATTTTCGCGCCGAAGAGCAAAAACATAGACTTTCGGAGAATATTTTAGCTGTTTACTATCACATATGTTTGTGAAACAGTTGATAATCTTACTGAGGAAGGCCAAAAAAAAAGCTAAAGTGCGTCGAAATCAGCTTTGCATGAAATGGACAATATTTTCATCAGGGAAACATGAACTAAATGGATATTTAATACATCAACACTAAATTTTGCTCGTGCCTACAGACCTAGTTGGATTAAAACAGATGTTAAGAAGTAAGTGAAAATGTGAACTTCGTGAATTATACTTTCATTAAAATGTTTCAGAAGGTCTGCAAATGACACGTGTGACAGAGCTGTCAGTATACTCATATTTCAGTGTTTATGTTAAAATGATCCATCTTCTTTGAGGTATAGCTTAAAAGATTTTCAAAAAAAAATTTTCAAAAAAGTTTTAAAAAAGCCAAAAAAGTTAGATTTTCAAAAAAGTTTCAAAAAAGTTAGATTAGGGTTAGGGGTTAGTGGTTTGGGGTTAGGTTTGGTTAGGGGTGAGGTTAGGGGTTAGTGGTTTGGGGTTAAGTTTAAAAAGTTAGATTTTCAAAAAAGTTTCAAAAAAGTTAGATTAGGGTTAGGGGTTAGTGGTAGGGTTGGGGGTTAAGTGCCGCGAATTTATCATTATGATAAATTCAAAATGTGCCGCGAATATATCATAATGATAAATTCGGACGTGTTTAAGAATTTACTCATATAGTAAATTCAAAAGTGGAGCTCATGCTGAAATAATACTATGACCGAAACAAAATGGTCCCGGTTTGACTTCGTTCCTGTCTCATGTAAACGGAGCCTTAGACTTTTCGTACAAGTTGACGCGCATTTTTTAACATTTGTAATTGTATAATGTTAATAATAATTCTGCGCGAATGCAATTAGAAACGTTTAGACGTAATCTGAAATTGCACTCGACTAATATTCCCACTACTGTAGCGATGTACTGTACTTACCATCATTGACATTTGTGTTTCTTTGTCTAGCAACTCTAGGCGCATATCATTCAGTTGACGTTCATATGTATCCATCTTACGTTCATATTCCTCTTTTCCAGAGTTTAATTTGCCAAATTCTTTAAAGTATTCTGAAAGTAACTCTTGGTTTTTTTTCTTCTCTTGATTTAACTTTTCAACCTCTTTCTCCAGTTCTTCTTTCCGTGCGGCCTTTGCTGCCATATCAGCGTTTTCCTTTTCCAGCCTTAACATTTTTTTCTGTGTCTCTTTCAGCGATGCTTTAAGATGTTCAACATCCCCTGAGCCTCTAACAGAAACAATTTGCGCATGTGCTTCATGATTAACCTGTGTTGATAAAATAAAGAAACCATGCAGGTTATACATATACAAATTCGAAAACCGAGTAGCGTTTAGTCTCGAACAGCTTGTTTGTTCAGGGCGATTCGTTTTGATTGGAAATGCAGTGCCATTATTACGATATCATGTTTTTATCTTGTTTTGAAAAGCCAAACGCATGAAAAAGTCCAAACGGATCACCTTAATAGATAAACTCATGATGTAAAGCTTTAATAATAATCCACCTTAAGTAAAAAAATACAGTGGACTTACAAATTCATAAACATTATAAAACCATCTATATTACAACAAAAATTTGTATTTTTAAAAAGGTTCAGTTGCCAAAGGCACAGACGACGATTATGTCCTTCAGTTCAGAGAATAATGCAACCTACATTCAGCCTAAAATTACAGAACCGTCTATTACAGTAGTAATTTAAAGTTTAATATTATTAAAAAGTTTAACTGCATGCACGAGGCATAAACGATGATTTATGTCTTTCGGTTCTGGAAATAATGCGACCTACATTAGAACCTCTTTCTTTAGTTCTAGTGGAATAGTCATGCTTCTGTGCGATAGGGACAAGGTGGTGACAAGGATGGTTTACGTCCAGAGTAATTGCCTCCATTTCTCGAAGAGTTAGCTTATCTCTTCTCTCACTAAGCGGGGGAAGTGTATCGACCGGTAAACCAATAATACGTAAGCTTCTCCTTTGAATACGCTCAAGGTCGTTCACTAAATAGTGAGGTAGGCCACCCCAAACTAGTGCGGCATATTCAAGCAGTGGACGAATTTTGGTGCAGTAAGTTGCCAATCCTACTTCAGTAGGAAGGTGAGCCTTCCTGCACTGCCTTAGATGACACAGTCTCCTGTTTCCCTTTCGAGTAATTTCTTTGATGTGAGAATTCTATTTCATGTTACTTTGACAGCTAACACCAAGTAACTTGAATGAATTAACTCTTTCGATCATAACATCCCCGGTATAAAGATTGGGAGACTGTGGGATAGATTTCCCAAAGCAAATCCACATATCTTTCGTTTTCTTTGCGTTCAACTTCATTCTATTAGCGTTTGACCAATTCTGAACGGAGTCTAAGACTTTCTGTATGTTGCTACACTCTCCCTTCATGATGCATTCGCTTTGTATTAACATTCATCAATGCAAGTTTATTCAACAGGATCCCATGATCAACTACATCAAAGGCTTTTTTAAAGTCGATAAAGAGGGCATGGATGCCTGCTTTGTCACGGCAGGTATTGTCAGTAGCATTAAACCATGGCTGTGTGATGGATATCAGAGCCGATGTAGTAGAGCGGCCACTAGTAAAACCATGTTGACTGGGACGTACTGTGATGTCATTTTGATTGAGTTGTAGTTGTACTCTCTCTCTAGGATTTTCCCAATATGTGGCAAAACAGAGATTTGTCTAAAATCGTTACCAACGTTAGTTGGTGGGTATGCTTTAGGTACAGGTGTGACCAGGCCATGTTTGTAATGACTTGGATACTTACACTGTTTAATGCTAGCCGTAATGATGTCATGAACAATCGGCGCTAGAACGCTAGAGAATCGTTTAAGTAACCATGCTGGAACACCATCGGCTCCTGTTGCTTTCGAGTGATTAAGGTGATTTAGGACGCTCTTAATCTGGCCAATACTAGGTAGAGGGGGAGGATAGTTTTTGAGAAGTGACTCAACTTCATCTAGTTGGGGAATACTTGTTGTAATTAGGTCTTTCCATGGTTCAGTAAAGGATATTTGAAATTTTTCTGCTAAAGCGGCCTCGCTACCCATGCATGAGTTTACTGTTAGGCCTTCATGCTGACTACTTACTCCGGACAGATTATAAATTGCTTTGTACCATTTCGCAGGATATTATGGTTTTGATATTCTCCATGCAGGAGTAGCTAACTTTGACTGTGTTGCGGTTAAAGACCTTATGAAGCGGGTTGGTAGAAGGGAAATGTTTATCAATCATAACTGTAGGAAATTTCGACCGACGTTATAGTTCGAACTGTTTTGCTGAAGGGTGGATTAAACCAAAGTTAGCTACTCCTGCATGGAGAATATCAAAATCCGACATAACCATCGCCTGTTAAAGAATAATCCTACACAAAAACCTGTCCCATGCAACTGCCAAAAACCAGATGAATGCCCACTAGACGGAAAGTGCAAAGTAGACAACATTGTCTATAAAGCCACGGTGCCAACAACTGATGACAGAAATACAAAAGAGTATATTGGAATGACGGCCAACTCATTCAAAGAAAGATACGCCAACCACAAAACGTCATTCAACCTCTACAACCACTCGTCTGACACAAAGCTTTCGAAGTACGTTTGGAGTCTGAAGCAAAGTAGAAGAAATTACAGCATCAAGTGGTCCATCTTGAAACGAGCTGCTGCGTACACGCCTGGTGGAAAGCGATGTGGCCTCTGTTTGGAAGAAAAATTATGTATCCTGAAAGCGAAAGGAAACAATTCACTGAACACGCGATCAGAGTTTTATGCAAAGTGCTGTCACAAGGAAAAATTTAGCGCGCGCAAATTCAAACCTGTGACGATAGACAAACCTTCGCGTCAGCGAGCGACCGTTGATATTGACGAATCAAACATTAACTGAATTAATTGCCTGAAGATCGTCTTGAATAAGGCGTGAAACTTGAGTAGCAATAATTAATTTTAAGATATATATATATATATATATATATA